CGTAGCACCGAAGTGCGATCCTCGCGCCATCCGCTGTAGCTGCTGGACAACTTCCAGGAACTGTCCCCCTCTCCCCACTGATCCTGCACGGAGACTCATTAGAGTTCATTGTAACTCCAATAATTTATAATATTTGGCTTTTTCCAGCCTCGATTTTTCCTCAGAATAGTGTGCGCCTAGCACTGTTCTTCGCCCTCTTACTTACAATACTTGGACCTTATTTTTGGTGTTCTTCATTACAACTACGGAACATTTATTGAGAGAGGCTACTCTGTCGAGTAGAGAGGTGTAAAATTTCATGTACCTCAAAAAATTAAATTTTATGAAAAATATCCGAACTACTGCAATGGACTCAGTACACAATTAAACACACGTAAACAGGAAATTCCTAATTTTGAGAGAGAAAAAGCAATATCATTGGTAAAGTTTCGAAGTTTTTCAACAATTATCAGAAAATTTTTGCGGATTGCATTATATCCCCCGGAAAAATCGGCGAAATTTCTTGGAAAATGAAATTTTCAGCAAGATGAAATTTCATTCTGTAAAAGCGTACCACGCAAATCCGATGCGCAAACGGACGGCCGACGGACGGTTGGCTTAGCGTCCCAACGAAGGAACTTGATACAGACCGGTTGCAGACTTGCGCTGTATATGCACCGCACGTTTAAAATAACGCAACTTTTGAGCAGGGGAGCAGAATTTTCAAAAACCAACGGTCGTTCGCGAACTGCGTAGAAAGGGGGAAATTGCATAAGTTACGGCCTTAAATAATGGATGATATTAAATTCATTATGTTTTGATTACAATGCGTTCAATATTTGCGTAAACCTTCCGAAATTGTGTGCGCGAGCTGCTCTATGAATTTCTAGATAGCGTGCTTATCTCGGAACTCACAATCAGCGCGATTCGCAAGTCAAGAGCAAAGAGCGAGACTAGAGATCGGGTGAAGATTGTGCGATGCTTGAAGTATCCTAAAAGTTTTGCAGGCGCTTCCTGCGATCGTTTTTTGCTATGAGTTCAAAAAATGGGAAATTTTCTTCGGAAAAATGAGGTCCCCTTTCAAAGATTCGGTCACAATTAAAATAGTAACAAAACTTTTTCGCATACCCAAAACAATGAAAAAGAGCTGGGTCTCCATTCCGCTGGCTCAGAGTTTTAACGCAGAGTAGAAAAGTTGAATGGGGCGAGACGCTTGACACAACAAATCCGACTTCCATGACGATACAATTGCATAACCACGAAATGAAGGAGAACGTGAACTCTATTCGGCTGACTCAGAGACTTTAACGCATGAGTAGAAAAGTTGGATGGGGCGAAACAAGTGATACGTATACTTTGACTACCGAGAAGTTAAATCGTATAACCATAAAATGAAGGACAACATGGTGTTCTATAAGAACCGCCAATTTCACCTGCAGTAGGATCGCTCCATACTCCCTATGTATCCTTGCCTATAGCTTTGTCTATCAATAAACGTTGAATTCGCCAGTATAATAATAATAATAATCACACAGTTATTTACGAGCATTTTGGCTTTCTATGTTATTGGAAGTCATGTCGAACGCTTTTCGCCCCTCATATGGGGCTTCTTCAGTGCCGACATTTAAATCCACCGATGGTCCTCGCGAAATTGGGCATATTTCAAAAGTTCGTATCACATTTTCAAAAAGAAACAAATATAATAAATAAATAAATAAAAATAGACCTATCTACGAGCTCGCACCGCACCTACCGCATAGAGAAAACAAGCTGCTGGTTCCAACACTACTGTGTTGGAGAGCTCGCCTTCGTGAAACTATTAACATGACAAATTTTTCACACCGCAATAAATAAACTGAATCATTAATAAAACAGAAGATAAGAGTGAGATAAGACAAAATACAATAGAAAAATGGTACAACGAAATTTATTGTAAAGTTGACAGGGAAAGATGAACTAGGACAATTATTGGCAATAAATTTTATTAGTGGATGTACATGGGGCATGGTGTTTCTGA